TTATTAAAAGAACAATTTCTCTGTGATTCTTTTGCCAATGGCAATTTTACCACCCTATTCAGGGAACTAGACGGGCTCCCTCTGGTAGCACTTTTATCATAAATACTTTTAGGGTTTTTTTCCTTCTCTGTATGTTGCTTGAAGCCACATTACACTGGCTTTATCCCAGCAAATTACTGTATTTTTCATCCTGTGCACTTAATAATGGATATAATTCAGTAAATTAAAACATCAGAGCTACAAATGGTGTTGATACAAGACATCAGGCTTTGGGAGGCTATTCTGCCTTCTGTGCTGTTCTCAGGACTCTGCTGTCCCTTGCTCTGGGTTTGCCCCAGTGCAATAAGCAGAATAGACCAGTAAGTGTAAATGAAGAATAATGTCCCTATTGTGTCCCCATTTATACTTTCATGCAGTTGTTTTCAGTGTTAAGTAATCCACTTAATTAGTAATGCAACTACTTTATTATGTGTAGGGGAGAAGGGATTACTTTGGAGCAGTTAATGAACACAGACCATTATTTACCAATAAAACAGGATTTCATTAGAGGAACTCGAGACATCCTTGTCTAGAAGGATATTGGAGAATGCCAGGAAGGCAGTTTTGCAGGAGAGCTGTCACAATGTTATAGAATAGAATCATAGAATCACAGAATCAACCAGGTTGGAAGAGACCTCAAAGATCATTAAGTCCAACCCTACCATGGTTACCAGACCATGGCACTAAGTGCCACATCCAGTCTCAGCTTGAAAACCTCCAGGGATGGTGAATCCACCACCTCCTCGGGCAGCCCATTCCAATGCCTGATCACTCTCTGTAAAAAATCTCTTCCTAAGATCCAACCTAACCCTCCCCTGGCAGAGCTTGAGTCTGTGCCCTCTTGTCCTCCTGCTGGTTGCCTGGGAGAAGAGACCAACCCCCACCTGACTCCAGCCTCCTTTTGGGGAGTTGTAGAGGGTGAGAAGGTCTCCCCTGAGCCTCCTCTTCTCCAGGCTAAACAACCTCAGCTCCCTCAGCCTCTCCTCATAGCACGTGTGCTCAAGTCCCTTCCCCAGCCTCGTTGCTCTCCTCTGGACCCGCTCCAGAGAGCTGCTTCAGGAGAAGAAAATAATTTTTTACAAATGCATAGAAGCTGTATTCAAGTGTGGTAGGAGAAAGCAAAATGCTGAACATGTTTAAATAGTATTTATTAAACTTGCCATTAAAATAAAATAGAAATCAGACTCCTTGTGACTACTAATTGATACATTTTTCCAATCTGCAACCAAACTGATCTGTTAATCTAACATGGTTCATGAGCTTGCTATTAAGCTGACCAGATTAATGTCATAAAGCTGCTTATGTCTTGTCAATGAAGTACTGGATTTGAGGAGTCTCAACCACCATATTAATTACATCTAAGGAAAAACAAGCAATTCTGCAGGCAAAAAGAAATACAAGACCAAATAGTGCAAACATGAGAAAAACAAGCAGGTGTCACTCAGTGTCTTTGAACTTTAAAGGCTTCCCCTGTCACAATAACAAGATCATATTAATCAGAGCACCTTGAAAATCGAGTGATAGGCTGGGAAATAGTCACAATTCAGGAAATCAGCACATACTAAGCAGTGTAATAGATGAAAATGGGTCTAGAAAACACATTATTTCAAACACGTCCTCAAGTGCAATTCAGTTACAGGAGAATTTTGACACTCTACTACTGGAACTATAATCTAGCTGATTAAAGCTCTGCAGCTTCCACCCTTGATCTGTGCTGTTCTCATCACCTCACACCTGCATATCATGGCACTTGTAATAGCCTGAGAAATATGATACTGCAATCCTTAGTGCCAGGGTACCAAACAGGGATGCTGGCTAATTCGCAACAGGAATCCCCTTCAGTCTGACCACTAGCAACTTATAACATTTAAGGAGCACTGAAAAGCTCACTGGTTTTCCAGAACTGAAGAGTCTGGAATACGTAATGGAATGCTGAACCACTTACTAGAACAGCCTGGCAGGTTCCAGTGAATGGAAAGGTGAAAGTGGGTAAGTTTGCTTGTTGTTTTGCTAATTGTCCAGGCTCCTGCAGTTTAAAATGGACAGTTCTAATAGACCAAGTGAAAAAGCCCTTCAGGATAAAGTGATAGAGAATATTTACCTTCTCCTCAGTATTTGAAAGGTTTCCATATTCAGCTAAGGGTTCTCCACATGGCATCCAGTTGTAGCATTCAATGAGGTTCTGACATACAAACAGATGTTCATTGCTGGTTTTACAGACTTCAGAGTTCACTGATTTCAAAAAAAGCCTTTACAGCTGAAGGTCTTCAAGACAAGCAGAAGCAGCAGCATTAGGACTTCTGGGTGCATAATCTTTGAAACCACACAATATAGACAGACATTTTGTTGCTATGCTTTCTTCTCTTTACAGCTTCCATTGACAAACATTGCTGTTCTTTGTCTACATTTAGTGATGTGTGTCCCCATCCCTCCTCAAGCATTCAGCATGTTTATATAATTACAGAATATAGACTGGACAATCTTTTAAACAAGAGCAGTGGTAATATTTTCCATCTTAGTTTAGGTAAGAGAAATCACCATGCCAAAGAGAGGCAAAAACAAGTAACAGAGTACGACAGCATCTCCTCGGTCACATATTGCAAGAGCTCCACAATCTGTTGTGTCTGTTTGCAAAGTTCTTAAATTATAAGGACATATCACACAGAAACCACATGACATGGTTAGATATTGTAATTTCAATTGACAATCACCGTTACCAGCCAGTAATGTTGGCATGTCTAGCTGGGGGGGAGGGAATCAAGGGAAATTGTAATAACAAATGAAACACACAGAAATTGTATCAAAACATTGGTAGAACAATGGCAAAAAAAAAAGCTCACCAGTCTTTAAATACTCTTTATTAAGAGCATGAAAAAAAAACTTTAGACGTTAAAGGTGCATTTTTACATTAATATTCACATGAACATTTCTTACGTTACATGTTTTTACGTAGACTCCGAACTGTTAATTCTTTTTGGCCACACAAAGTCTTCCTGATCCGTCGGAGCTGTGTTACCTCCCTGCAGGGAGGGGACGTGGTGCTCCCTCTGGGTGCAGGTGCCATCTGAAATGAAAGCCAACAGTTACCCAGTGCCACCTGCAGCCGGCGGTGCCTGTGGGAGGAGGGTCTGTCTGTCTGTCTGTCTGTCTGTCTGCACAGGAGCTCTGTCCTGTCGCTGCTGACTCAGCATGTTGCTGCAGGAGCCTGGAGAGCATGGCTAATGCTGCCCACGGAGGGAAAGCAGGGGCCAAGGTCACTCTGCAGCATGGTCTTGGGACATTACCCAGCGTGGGGACAGCCCCATCGGGCTCCTCTATGCTTAGGCTTGATGGGAGTGGACAGACACACAGGTAGCTGTCCCTAGGAAGCCGCCACTGAGACAACAGTTCATCCTCCAAGGAATCATTCACATGAGGTCCTCATGTGCACATCAACTGATTCCCTAATTTAGCCACCGAAATTAAACAGATTTAGTCATATAATTTCAGATGTGTGAAGACAATTCAGTCATAAGAACTCCAGGAGAACAGCATTAAGTGACTCCAGCCGAGCTAGGGATGATATTTTAGGAAGTCACCCAAGTGGTGGGAGCAGAACCTCAGAGCAGGGCTGGTATCCAGAAGGGATGGAGGTGGATGATAAATGCTCAGAGCACTTGTCAGAAGCAGCAGGGCAGTTGATGAGAGGACAGGGATTTTGAGCATGAACAAACACCCAGGGCTATCCCCTATCACATACTTCAATCATGAGCTCAAGGGGGCAAGCCCTGCAATCCCCCGAATTATGTGGGAACACTGCTCCTGCTCAACATTTAAGCAATGAACATAGCAAGTTAAAATGGAGGTACTAGTATTTCTGTATCAAGACACCCAGCAAGCCAAAGCCAGAAGTGAAAAAGTCATTTAAGACTTGATGCTCTGCCACAGAAATCAGCTGGAGCTCCAGAACATCCTGTGAGTCTTGGGAACATTCGCACAAACCCAGTGGTCACACTTCTCTGCTGGGGGTTGGCACAACAGCCAGTGAAGCTGCCAGTGTGGCCTTCCCTCAGCCCCAGGGGCTGAACTGCACCATTCCCAGAGCTCGGCGTGGGCTCTGTGATCTTCCAACGCCAGCACCTTCTCCTGAACCACGCAGGCCCAAACACACCTCTTCCTTTTGGGTGCTCCATCTCCTTCCTTCTCTAAAACTAATGGCACCAGATGTAAGTCATGCTTCTCCATCCCCATCTTCCTAGTTTTCT